GGACCAGGATCCAGGAGGAGCCGGAGCTCAAAGACAAGTTCATCCCAAACATTCGGATGTACGTTTACAACGGGAGCATCAGCATGAGCGAGTGGAACAGACTCTCCCACTTCAACAACCCCTTCGGCTTCATGAACTACACACACCAAGGTCAGAGTCCACATCAGTCGAGTCCTGCTCGAGTCCTGTTCCACCTGAGCTACACACACCCAGGTCAGTCCATAGAGACCTTCTAAGGAGGTCCTTAAACGTGTGCAGAACCAGGCAGCGTCTGAGTCTGTGGGAGCCAGCGCCCCCTGCGGGCACAGACCCAGCGCCCCCTGCGGGCACAGACCCAGCGCCCCCTGCGGGCACAGACCCAGCGCCCCCTGCGGGCACAGACCCAGCGCCCCCTGCGGGCACAGACCCAGCGCCCCCTGCACACAGGGCTCACAGCTGTGGTGGACAGTGCTGTGGTGGGAGGAGATGGACTCAGATCTTGGGGATGTTCAGGTCCCTCTCTGGTCTGAGGAGCTCTTCTGCTGCTGGAATGTTCCAGGAGCTTGATTCGTGACTCCCCCAAAGATCTGCTCTTCTCCCAAGTTTAGATTTAGTCTCTGCTCTGCTGTGGTGTGTGGAAGCAGACTTACTCTTAGGACACACTCACACTAGGACTTTAGAACCGTGCCGAGATCAAGCACGATTCTGTAGAGTTCTATGTTCTGCACTCACACCTGCACGACCGAACTGATGACGTCAGCGAACACTTTCAGAGAAGAAACAAGTCCAGTGGCAGAAGTTTCTATAAACTAGGCAGATGTGCGTCCTCTTATGATACACACTCCTATGTGAGTTTATGGATTAAACGACAGTGTGTGGGAGTGAGGACAGAGACGAGGCTGCAAAACTTCTTTCTCTGTCACCACAGTCCTTACTGAAGGTAAGTGCAGATTAGCCATGTGTTTTGAAGCCTAGTTTATTCACTGTTTTTACTGTATGAGTAACATCAGCGCAGACACACGGCTCCTCTACTAAAGTCATGTGTTTGTGCTCGTACATGAGCACCTCCCCCAACTGAGCAGAAGTCCAAACCGTACCGTGTCTGGGCCCGGTTCGATTAAAGTCCTAGTGTGAGCGCACCTTTATTTACCTAAAGGGGAATCACAGAAAATGATCTAAACACAGAGTTTATTCTGAAATGTCTCCAGTTGGATGTAAACGTTTGTTTTGTGTGTCAGATGTGATGTCCGCTCTGAACCTGGTGCAGAAGCCCAAGGAGCCGCTGCTGCCGCCTAAACCAGGCAGAGACTGTATCAGCTGTGCTGTGGTGGGCACTGGAGGAATCCTCTGGAGGTCCAAGAAAGGAGCAGAGATCGACCAACACGACTATGTGTTCAGGTCAGACTGCTGTGGCACAGAGCTGAGCCTGTGCCCCTCAGTGAGGAGGTGGTGGGTTTAATATACAACTCACTGACATCAGTTTTAGACCAATGCCCCAGTTCATCATCATCAAACTGTCTGCTCCTGTCTGCTCCTGTCTGCTCCTGTCTGCCCCTGTCTGCCCCTGTCTGCCCCTGTCTGCCCCTGTCTGCCCTGTCTGCTCCTGTCTGCTCCTGTCTGCCCCTGTCTGCTCCTGTCTGCCCCTCTGCCCTGTCTGCCCCTGTCTGCCCCTGTCTGCTCCTGTCTGCCTCCTGTCTGCCCCTGTCTGCTCCTGTCTGCTCCTGTCTGCTCCTGTCTGCCCTGTCTGCCCTGTCTGCCCCTGTCTGCTCCTGTCTGCCCCTGTCTGCTCCTGTCTGCTCCTGTCTGCTCCTGTCTGCTCCTGTCTGCTCCTGTCTGATCTGTTGTGTTTTGTCCTCAGGGTAAACGGAGCGGTGATAAAGGGGTTTGAGGAGGATGTTGGGAATCGTACAGACGTTTACGTTCACACGTCTTACTCCATCACACAGGCCGAGATCCGCTTCAGGAAATACAACTACACCCGAGCCCCACATGACCAGGTGCTTCAGTCCTGGTTTTAGTCCTGGTCTAGTCCTGGTTCTATGACCTCTTGTTGTTTCAGGGCATAAAGTACGTGCTGATCCCTGAGGGCAGGAGGGACTACGAGTGGCTGTCTGGACTTTACAAACGAGAGAGACGCACAGCGGGATATTTTAAAAACTGGCGGTGAGAGTTTAACTGAATGAGGTGGAAATAATTTTCTTTGTTTAAACCTGCCCCGAGTGCCTTTAATTTGGCATTTCACATTTTAGAACTTAAAGCATTATAAATCTATAGTATTTGTTCAATACTGGCAACGCAGAAATGCAGATTTATGGACTTAAAAACAGCACAGCTTCAGACTTTTACCTGTAACATCACAATCCTGAGAAAATCAAAATTACGTGTTTGATAAATCAGTTTAACAAGCTAAAAATCTGACAAGTTGATTCATTTTTTTAAAAAATTCTTTGAGTGAACTGCGGTGAATGTGTTTGGACCACTGCAAACCATTTAAAATTCTGTTTTCCAAGTTTTTAAACTTAAAACTCATTTCTGCTCTGGTCCCGTCTCTGGTCCCTGGTCCGGTCCCTGGTCTGGTCCGTGGTCTGGTCCTGGTCCCTGCTCTGGTCTCTGGTCCCTGGTCCGGTCCCTGGTCTTCAGACCCTGGACTCAGTACTCTGGTCGGTTCAACGAGTCGAACTTCTACGTTCTGCACATGGACTTCCTGCGATACGTCAGAAACAGGTCAGTGTCACTTTAAAGCTGCACTGTGTAACTTTCTGGTTGGCGGAGGTGGGGGGGGGGTGTTATTATTATGTTATTATTATTATGTTTATTTATTTCAGACAGTAATACATAGAACATAAATAAAAAAAAAAAATAAAAACTAAATAAAAACCAAAAAAAAACCAAAAACGTAAATACATAGATATAACACAAAAAGTAACTATTTCTATTCTATAATAACAGGCAAAATAAATGTTACGCAGAATTTTCCTTGTGTCCGAAAAAGGAGTGGGAGGAAGTAAATACTTATTTAACCCCACCCCTTTTTTCTACAGTCATTTATAATTTCCGACCAGTCTTTGATTGATGGTGCTGTTTGTGTCATCCATTTTTTTGTAATAGCTTTTTTTCCTGCCCCCAGAAGTATGTTCCAGAGATTATCCATTGATTGTATCCATGGCAGAGGGTTTTGAGGCCCAAGTACATAGTTCTGAAGTCAAGTGGAACGGTCACATTAAAGATAATTCGCAATGCTTTGTTGATTTCTGTTCCAATATTTATGGATCACATGACAGTCCCAAAACACATGGTACTGACGGGCGTCTCGGCAGCCACAGTTTCTCCAACACCTGGATTTCCCTGTGAATCGTGGCCACTTTGGTTTGGTGTTATAAAAAAACGTGATATATTTTTCCACCCATATTCTTTCCAGATATGTGATTTTGTGCTCCTCCATTGAGATGTTTATATATTTTCCCATTCTTCATCTGTCACTGTAAAATGACCTTCCCTTTCCCATTTATTTTTAATATATTTAGTAGAGTGGTTAGCCAGATTATTAATGCATTTATTAGGGGTGTCAAATTATCGCGTTAATTGCGATTAATTAATTACAGTCATATTTAGCGCATTATGTTTTTTAATCTCGTTAATCTAATTTTTAATCTTTAACTTTAGTGTTTCTGTATGTGAGTTTCTTTATTATAAAACCTGTTTTTATGTGTTGTTGGGACAACAACACACACACACACACAAACACACACACAAACACACACCTTCATCATCGTCATTAACCTGAGAACGCGCGGACCACGTTTCTTTCCGTAGTTACTGCGCGGACACCGACGTGCTGCCGTGAGCCGCGTGTGGATCGTGTTTTCTCGCTACGCGCCGTAAACCGCGCTTCCTCCTGTGAACCTCTAAACCAGAGACTAAAACCAGGACTAAAACCAGGACTAAACCAGGACTAAACCAGGACTAAACCAGAACTAAAACCAAAACCAGAACTAAAACCAGAACTAAACCAGAACTAAAACCAGAACTAAAACCAGAACTAAAACCAGGTCTAAACCAGGTCTAAACCAGGTCTAAACCAGGACTAAACCAGGTCTAAACCAGAACTAAACCAGAACTAACACCAGGACCAGGATTAATCCATTCCAGGACTAAACTAGGACTAAAGTAGGTCTAAACCAGGTCTAAACCAGGACTAAAACCAGTGATCTCATATATAAAGCATTTCTCTATCAATAATATTTTTAATCTGGTTAAGGAAAGACTGGACTTTTTATTGTCTTTAAGTCGACAAAAGTTATTATGTTCAGATTTCCTCGTCTTTGCTGCTTTACAACAAACAGTTTCTTATTCATGGAGACTTGGGCTCAACAGACAATTTGGAGAGATTTGTTAAACAATAAATGACTTTAAAAAGTCACTTTTTTTTGTTCTGTATCAGTCTTTTGATCTGCCACAATAATGTAATAATGAATTTAAATGAAAATACCTCAAATTGAAGCTTTTCTCAGCAATTTTTAGGTGAGATTAAAATGAGATTAATTTGATTAATTAATTACAGATCATAATTAATTAATCTCTCAATTTTTTTTATCGCATGACAGCACTGGCATTTATACAGTTTAGTTATCATTCCCTTTGAAAGTTCTGATTCATGTGCCTTAATAAACATTTCGATCAGAGGATTGTAGTGATCAGCATTGCTTTGCTTAATGTTTTGGTTGTAATAACGTCTTATCTGTAAGTACCTGCAGAAGTCCTTGCTTTCTAAGCCAAAGGATTCCTTTAACGTGTCAAAACTTTTCACTTGATTTCCTTCTATAATCTGGTAAAACGAGAACGTAAACTATTTTTAAAGGCAGTGATCGTTTGGTCTGATTGAATTCGTCTGTGGTATTGTATTTTTTCAGGCACTTTTTTTTCTCAATCTAAAATCAGTAACTATGAAAACTGGCAGATGATCTGTGATATCATTTATTAACAACCCGCTTAATGTATGTTTGTCAGTGTCATTAGTGATGATATTATCTATTAGTGTGGCAGAATGTGCTGTTATCCTTGAAGGCTTTGTTATTTTTGGATACAGAGTTTAAACTGAACATAGTCTCAATACATTCCTCTGTAATTGTATGTTTGTATGGATTTAGCAAGTCAATATTAAAATCACCACAAACAAATATCCTCTTATGCAGTTTTTGGGAGTATGCTTCTTCTAACCAGTTAGTGAACATTTCAATATTTTCCATTCTTATTTCAAGTACATTTTCAATAGCTGTTGTCATTTGCTCTATTATTTTGAAGTTCAAGCTATTGTCTACATACAAAGCCACTCCTCCACCCAATTTGTTTTGTCTATTTAAATAGTTTAGTTCATAACCATCGATTACGAACTGTGTGCCTTTATTTTCTGTAAGCCAAGTTTCAGATACAGCAATGAAATGACTAAAATGACTAAATGACTGAGACAATTGTTGCAAATACTCCTTTATAGCGGTGAAGTTTATGTAAAGGCTTCTACTGTTAAAGTGGATTATTGAGAGTTTATCCTCAGTATCAATGCCACTGTTGAACTGTTCATCTTATTGGTCCAGCAGGCTTCCTCGTACTTTGCCAGATCCTCCATATTCCCTGGCCTCCTCTGGGGTCCCATTCAACTTGATGAACACTTTACAATTTGTTGTCCACGTATTCTGATTCTTCTTTACTTTGCGTAAGTATCGAGCTTTCCTGGCGATGTCTGCGTTGTGTTTGGTGAGGTGTTCGTTTAGGTGCACGTTTGATCCTCTCAGTTTGTGTCCTTGTCTGAGCAGCGCCATTTTATCTTTCCTGCTAACAAACCTCATTATGACTGCGGGTTTGTCAGCGGCGTTCCTCGTGGGGAGCGGGTGACACGCTTCGATGCTTTCGGGGTTCATCTCAATTCCTTTCGCCTGCAAGAAAGCGGCGACTTGTTGCTCTGTAGAGCTCATATCCGGCTCCCCGGGCTCATCCCCGTTGTTCGCGGTCACCGCCCGAGCGTATGACCGGGGTTTGATACGGAGCCCGGAGACAATAACGTCCTTCATCCTCGTGTATTGTTCTAAATCAGTCACCCTCCTTTTAAGAGATGCGATGCGCTTGTCCTTCTCTTCTACAAGCAAGCGTAGCGCCTTCACGTCCTTGACGAGCTCCAAGATTTCTTTTTGATTCACGTTGATAGATGACACTTTGTCAGTGAGATTGTCGAGTGATTTTTTTAATGTCCTCGATCGTTAGTTTCCTCTTTGGTCCCATTTTCGGCCTCTTTTCGCGTAACAGCTGCTTCCAGATCTACCGTGCGCACAACCAGCTGTTCAGGCCAGGGCGCTGCTTGTTTCTATGTATCCATAGAAACAAGCAGGTGTCCGTCACTGCTTGTTTCTATGGATACATCTTTGCTCTGCCTGGAATGTTCCACAGTGTAACATTAAACACCTCTACTTTTCATTTATTCAATTACTGTAACCTGGTCTGGTTTAGTCTCCATGAAGATATAAAGGTTTAATGCCAAACTGTGGAACATTCCAGATAAAGCAGGTAATGATAATCTCCATGGCGAAAAGCGTGTGATGGACCCTCCACCAGAAAAGTTAGAGTGCAGCTTTAAATGTGATTATTTCTGCAAAACTCATTAAACCGCCACTGACCTTTGACCTTTGACCTCTGACCTCAGGTTTCTGAAGTCTCACACGCTGCAGAGCAAACGCTGGGCCCTCGTCCGACCCACCACCGGCGCCTTCATGATGTTCGTGGCCCTGCACCTGTGCGACCAGGTACGACTCCGGGGTCTACGTAAATCCAGAAGTGCGCGGTTGGCATGCTAGTTGTTAATTGTTGTGGCGTTCAGACCTTGGCGTCAGACTTCACCCCGCAGGTGTTTGTAATCCGAAACGCCGGGCTGTAATCGGGGTGATGTCGACGGTCGCTCTGTTGGTCGAGCGTCAAATCCACTGATCTGAAATTTCGTGGTGCGATTCCAGCTCCCACAGATGAATGCTATTCTTGTGTCCTTGGGCAAGACACTTAATCCACCTGGCCCCCAGTGTCTGTGTACCATATTTTGCGCACTATTAGGCGCTCTGGATCATAAGGCGCACTGTCATATATTTTTGAACTTTTTTCACAAATAAACCATGTGGGACTTTAAAGGAAACCCAACAGTGTGATGGGTGAGTGGTTTTGTTTGTTTGTTCGTTCACGGTGACTCTGGGCTTTGTTCAGTTGTGGCGTGTTGAATTGTCGGCGTGTTCGCTGTGACTCAGTTGTTCAGTCGTGTCGAGAAGCAGGCACATTGCGCTCGCTTTTTCGGTTCGTTCCTCCGTTCCGTTCCTCGTCGGCGTGGAGTGATGCGTGTGTCTGCGGGTGTGTTTCGCTGTGCGGTCGCTGTCTGCTCCGTGTGTGTTTGCGGCTTTGTAGTTTACTGAAGTCGTGCTGGGACACCTGAGTGGATTCGTGAATAGGGAGCTCTGGATTGCGGTGCACAGTCTTTTTTTGATGGGGTTGGCGGCTTAAGAGCACAACCTATAGTGCAGAAAATACGGTACTCTGGTGTGAGTGATTCTTTGTTGTAAAGCACTTTGAGCCTTGAAGGTGCAAAAGCGCAGTATAAAAATGTGACCAGTTACTACAGTGACATCTAGATGAAGAAACCCGGCCCTCCATTGCCAACAGAGCCTAAAGGAAGTCGTCATCTGCATGTTTCCAAATGTCTCCCGGGTTTGACGTAAGCGTGACTAGAGCCTGTTCTACAGAAATGTACAAAAACTTGACAAAAAACTGTACACAGCAACTCCACAAACCTGATGTGATGCGCGGGAGTTTTCTTTGCTCAGGGCTGCGAAATGCGTCGATCTTGATCTACCAGTCGATCGCCAAGGTGGTGTGAATAGATCGTAGTGTCTTGGTACTCGAGACAGTTTTTTTACATCTTGGTCTTGTCTCGGACTCGACCGCGTTTGGACTCGATCTTGAAGTTGTTCGGATTTGGACTTGAGGTCTGACACTTGATGAGTGCGCTCATATTTCATTACGGCCGCTGCTGTCTGTAATAAATTTGTCTCGGTGCACAGGAGCGTGGGGTGTACCCGACAAGTACGGGTAAATGGTTACTGAGACGGGCATGTTTTTAATGTTCTGGGCAGGTAAGCGGGCGAGTAGTAATTACACACGGGCGGGTCAGGACTACACCAGGACTTAAGAGAGAGAACCCCGAGCCCTTGGACCAGGGAGTCCGCTAAGTGTATTCAGGCGACAGCTGCACTTACCTCCACTTACCACGTACCTCTGCAGCGGCCCTTTCACCTGTGGTCACCCGACGGACTACGTGGGCACAACTCCAAGTCTGTCTCAACAGTGAGTCCTGGTTCAGTTTTGGTTTAGTCCTGTTTTAGTTCAGTTTTAGTGCTCGTGGTTCAGTCCTGGAACCAGTCCTGAAACCTTAGGTTAGTCCTGGGTTAGTCCTGGGTTAGTCCTGGGTTAGTCTTGGGTTAGGCCTGGTTTAGGCCTGGTTTAGTCTGTGGCGTGTTTCTTCTGCTCAGTAAATAAAGCTTGTGAAGTGATGACAGTCGAGTCGTGTCTGTGAATTCGTGTTCATACTGAAGAAAGTGAAACCGTTTCTTTTCGTAATTGTAATTCTTGAAGTCGTAACTTTTCACTTTGTGTTCTGATGGCTGCTTCAGTTACAATGCTTTAAAATTTGTGTGTGATTTGTCACGGGTTCAGGCGGGTGCGGTTTTAACGTTCATATAATCACGGGTTAACGGGCAGGTGTGTTGCTGTACTGCGTGGATGTGGGTGAGTGCGGGTCTCCAAAAATGGACCCGTGCAGGACTCTGGCGTGGGGCGTCTCTCTGCAGCCTTTGCGCTCATCTGGAGCCCGCGGACACTTCGCGGCGCATCACCACATGCAACCGACGCACGGCTGGTTCACAACAGCATGTATCACAGGACAGGTTGAACTTTTTAAAACATCCTGTTTGAGAAACTTGTCGCCCAAAACAACATATTAACATGTTTTACAATATTCGGAAGCAGAGAGGGGTCACAACAAACGCAAACGCTGCAACAAATACAAATGCGACAACACACCAAAAAAAGCCACAACAGAAATGACCGTGGGACTATTTTCTGACGGACCGATCAAGCGGCAAGTGAAGAAGAAGAAACTACAACGTGAAAGGAATAATGATAAAACAATAAATTACTTTTACTTACGTTTCCAACTTCTCCGTTCCTTTACTTTTCACGTTGTAGTTCTTCTTCACTCGCCGCTTGATCGGTCCGTCGGAAAATAGAGTCCCGCGGTCACTTCCGTTGTGGCTTTTTAATGTGTTGTGGCTTTTTGTTGTGTTGTCGCATTTGTATTTATTGCGGCGTTTGCGTTTGTTGTGACCCCTCTCGGCTTCTGTAACAGTAATGACAATAATAAAAATTTTCAAAACACTAAAAGGAACACGGTGATGTAAATGTGTGATGTTTGAGCAGTTTTCTCTTCCAGGTGGATGCGTACGGATTTATAACCGACGATTACAAACAATATTCTAACTACTACTACGAACGCGGCGCCAAAACCCGCGTGGTCTTCTACATAAACCACAACTACGACCAGGAGAGGGCGCTGTGGAGGAGACTGCACGACCTGGGCGTCATTCACCTGTACATGGGAGAACCGCGAAAGCACGAGCCCATGCAGCATCCCCCGAAGGCAGCACAGTGAGCAGCGAAACCACCCACGGCAAAACTCGACACAGACCAAAAAGAAGAAGAAAGTTTAATATCACACGTGTTTTATTGTAAAGATAATGTGAAATATGTAGTTCTGTATAATAAAATCCTCTGTGTTTGACCAGTTCTTCAGTGTCTCTGGGTTATGTCGCAAAGAAAATGCAAAAATGTCGGCGCACACAGTAAACAGGAGAATTGTGTTTTGGTCATTTTTGTGAGGACTTTTTCCTCCGGTGAGCTACCTTTTACAAAACAAAAATGCCAAAGAGGGACTAATTTTAATGCCCACAAGAAATTTAGACGTTAATAAGAAAGAGGGCGAGTCTTTGGGTGCAGTTAGACGCCTATAAAACATAAACCATTGCTCATTTCTTGGTGCACAAAGTTGGGCTTAAAAATGATACATTTAGAGTAGGGATGTAACAATAACCGAAATATCGTGATATCGTATCGTTAAAAGTCTCAAAATAATATCGTGGGCTGTCACAATATATTGAATCACAAGTTCCTTTGCTTAAATGCAGGTTTTATAGCAGCAACAGCTTAAAAACATTGGGAACTACATATCCCATGATTCATTTCAGTGCAAAAAACATGAAGAAATATGTTTTTACTAGTGCTGTCAAATGATTAGTTTTTTTCATCAGATTAATTACACTTTAGAATTTTGATTAATCCCGATTAATCGCAGTTAATTATTCCGACAAAAACACAATTTATTGTCAGAAAGTTATATTGACATTTTTTAAATGTCAGTATAACAATCAGTCAGCAGTTGTATCTTGGCGATCTCACTTGTGCAGTACAATTCGTTTATTCTTGTAGAAATCGTCCCCCTCACCTGTGGCCATGTGCATGACATTTTGCAGCTCTTGGTCTTAACGATGTTAATCGGCCTGCATGCTGTGGCGATCCATTTTGCCAAGGCGTTGGTCAACTTATCGGTGGTACATTTGTTGACAACATTGCGGTGTGTGCACTCCGCCAGTGTTGCTTGTCGTGCTTGGCTTGTTGTCGGTGTAGAAGTCTGGTCTTTGCTCGCCGCTGAATCAAACACGTGTTTTGCTTTAAGATGGTATTTCAAGCTTGTTGAGCTTCTGTGGAAAGAGAATTCATCACCACAATATGTGCAAACTACCTTAGTTTTATCTGAAGTCCCGTCGGGGAGTTTTTTGAAGAGAAATTTGCCGCTGAGCACAACTGTCATAGTCTCATTAGCCGTCTTTGCATCGGTGTATGACAGACCTGATCACTGACCTGAACCTGCGCGGACTCTCAGGTCACCATCCGCCTCCGCGCTGTCGACAGAGGAGCATGTCCGGCCAAAATAAACTGTGTGATTGATCTGCGTAAAAATATATTAGTGCGATCATTTTTTGTGATTAATCGCATGCGTTAACACGTTAACGTTGACAGTCCTAGTTTTTACTTGAATCCATGCATCACAAATTTCGGATTTCCAGTCATTGCTCAATGCATACTGGGAAGGATTTTCTTCCATGTTTGTTTTCCCAGTGGGATGTGTCTATTGACAAAGTCGATCTTTTCAAGTCTTTTGAACCATATCACGTTTGTTTCTGGTTCTGATATTGTCATATTTTATGGGATTTGGACATCATAATTGTGTGGTTGTTGGATGTCTGATTGTGCTCAGACATCCACAGCTTTGAGTTTTCTTGCTTTGTGCTGTGGTCCAAAGCAAGAAAAATATCTGATGAAGTTTTTTTTGCCAAAACGTTATTTTGAAAATAAAAAAAACTTTTGCACATCGGCCATCTGACTGAGCTGTGCATTTTTTTCACTCTTGTCTGGCTGCTCCTTGCATTTGCACCTCTACAAGAATTTTTGTGTGTGTTTTCTGTTTGTTTTGAATAGACAAAAAGCCCACAAATGATCACTTTTGCAGAAAACTTGACAAATACAAATTCCCAAATTGGGACAACACAGTTAAATATTCAGATTTAATTTTGATTAAAAAAAAAATCATATCTCACAACACGATCAGCTCTAGAGGCGACTGCTCTGTGCCGTTTACGAAAAGTGTTTTTGGACAAACTCTTTTGTTTCTGGAGCAGCTCAAACATGAAACACAGAGCAGCTCATGTACGAGAACTTTAAACACTGCAGCGTTTTCTAAACATTTAAAACATGATGATCAATGGACAAATATGTTACAGTGTTTAACCAAATAACATTTTCTTTTATATCGAGGGGATGTTGGTTTAACTCTTAAACTGTTGACTTTAAACTTCAAATGATGTTTGAAATTAATTTGTGTGTACAGTGAGTGTGTTGTGTGTGTACAGTGCGTGTGTTGTGTGTGTACAGTGAGTGTGTTGTGTGTGTACAGTGCGTGTGTTGTGTGTGTACAGTGCGTGTGTTGTGTGTGTACAGTGCGTGTGTTGTGTGTGTACAGTGAGTGTGTTGTGTGTGTACAGTGCGTGTGTTGTGTGTGTACAGTGCGTGTGTTGTGTGTGTACAGTGCGTGTGTTGTGTGTGTACAGTGAGTGTGTTGTGTGTGTACAGTGCGTGTGTTGTGTGTGTACAGTGCGTGTGTTGTGTGTGTACAGTGAGTGTGTTGTGTGTGTACAGTGCGTGTGTTGTGTGTGTGTGTGTGTACAGTGAGTGTGTTGTGTGTGTACAGTGAGTGTGTTGTGTGTGTACAGTGAGTGTGTTGTGTGTGTACAGTGCGTGTGTTGTGTGTGTACAGTGAGTGTGTTGTGTGTGTACAGTGTGTGTTGTGTGTGTACAGTGCGTGTGTTGTGTGTGTGTACAGTGCGTGTGTTGTGTGTGTACAGTGCGTGTGTGTGTGTGTGTGTACAGTGAGTGTGTTGTGTGTGTACAGTGAGTGTGTGTGTGTGTGTGTACAGTGAGTGTGTTGTGTGTGTACAGTGCGTGTGTGGTGTGTGTGTACAGTGAGTGTGTTGTGTGTGTACAGTGCGTGTGTTGTGTGTGTACAGTGAGTGTGTTGTGTGTGTACAGTGAGTGTGTTGTGTGTGTACAGTGAGTGTGTTGTGTGTGTACAGTGCGTGTGTTGTGTGTGTACAGTGAGTGTGTTGTGTGTGTACAGTGCGTGTGTTGTGTGTGTACAGTGAGTGTGTTGTGTGTGTACAGTGCGTGTGCTGGTTTTATGTACTTTTGATTGATTGTTGTTGTACTTTTCTGTGTCCTGTAGATGATTTCACATCAACCTGTCGAGGGACTGAAGATGGAAATGAGCCACGTTGCTTTAATGTTTTACATATTTACATTTTTAATGTTCGGGTCTGGTCCCGGTCTCGGTTCTGGTCCCGGGCTGAGTCTTGGTCTAGTCCCAGACTCAGTCCCGGGCTCAATCATGGTCTGGTCCCGGTCTCAGTCCCGGTCTGGTCCTGGTCCTAGTCCCAGTCTCAGTCCCAGTCTCAGTCCTGATCCTAGTCCTGGTCTCAGTCCCGGTCTCAGTCCTGATCCTAGTCCTGGTCTCAGTCCTGGTCTCAGACTGGGAACAGACCAAGACTGAGACCGGAACTAAGTCCTGGTCTGGTTCTTATCTGGTCCTGGACCTGGTTTAGTCCTGGTTCAGTCCTTTACCGTTTTTTCCATTTTTCATGTAAACACAAAATCAAAAACTGAAAAAACGAATCATTGTCTGTTTTTTTAATTTTGGTATTGGAGACAAATAATGAAGAAAATAGTTTTGTTTTTTTTCGTTTTCTTATTTTTTATTTTATACTGAAAAACAAACGAACGAATGACACAGATTTAAAACATTTTGATCTTTAGAGACGCAGACAGAATAATAATAAAGATTTTCTCAAACATTTGAATGAAAGAAAACACAACTGCAGCTCTGTTTTTGAACAACATTAGATCATGGAGTTATTTTTGTGTAACACAAGACCTTGGGCACCTTCTTTCCTCAAAGTTACACAGTGCTTTTTATACCTGGATTTGTAATCGAATAAAGCTCTATTCTGTAACATGTCATTAAAATAATTTGTATTTAATAGTCTGTTTAGGTCCATGAGCTTGTATAATTATAGTTGTGTTTCTTTCATTCACACTTGGACTTTAGAACTGTGCCGGGATCAAGCACCATTGTGTGTTATTATATCATGAACACTGCAGAGTAGAACAATGAGCTTATGCTGTCGCTTTTGTTTAGGTGTTCATGTGGGGTTTGTCGGTGGAGGTGGTGGACGTGGGGGACGTGGTGGAGGTGGTGGATGTGGGGGACGTGGTGGAGGTGGTGAACGTGGGGAGGTGGTGGAGGTGGTGGAGGTGGGGGAGGTGGTGGAGGTGGTGGAGGTGGGGGACGTGGTGGAGGTGGTGGACGTGGTGGACGTGGTGGAGGTGGGGGAGGTGGGGACGTGGGGGAGGTGGTGGACGTGGTGGAGTGGGGGAGGTGTGGAGTGGTGGAGGTGGTGGACGTGGAGGTGGTGGACGTGGTGGAGGTGGTGGACGTGGTGGACGTGGGGAGGTGGGAGTGGGGGAGTGGTGGAGGTGGTGGACGTGGGGGAGTGGTGGACGGTGGGGGAGGTGGTGGACGTGGGGACGTGGGGACGTGGGGACGTGGTGGAGGTGGTGGACGTGGGGGTGGTGGACGTGGGGGACGTGGTGGGGGACGTGGTGGAGGTGGTGGACGTGGGGGAGGTGGTGGAGTGGTGGAGGTGGTGGAGTGGGGAGTGGGGTGGGGGAGGGGGCGGGTGTGAAGCGTTTTCTGCTAGGCCAAACGCGTCATAGGTGAATCTGCCGCGTCATCGTTGTAGCAGCTTTAGTTCGTTTTCATGTGGGAGGGAGGCAGAAATACACTGCAATTTGTTAAAAAACGCCGACCCAATCTAAAAACTACTTGGGCGACAAATCCAAGGCCCACACATCACGCTTAGAAGGAAAACTCTGAAAAGTTGATTTTGCATGAGATGGGCCCTTTAAACTGTGATGCTGGACTGAACCAGGACTGAACCAGGACTGAACCAGGACTGAACCAGGACTGAACCAGGACTGAACCAGGACCCTCCACATACAAAATGTTCTCTGTAAACTCTGAATGATTTCTTAGTCAGACAGATGTTTGTTTTTGGTTCTTCCTGTGGATCAATCCTGCCCATCACCTTCACCTTTCACTATTTTTCAATTCCGTTG